TATTTATGCCCTTAATGTTTAATCATACTAATAGACCCTTAAGAATTGATATTCTAGGTAACAATTTTATTAATCAGCTTATTTACTTTCTTGGAATTTTATTTTAGTTAAAAATATCTAGTATTAATTTTGTGAAATATTTATCAAATTCCCATACAAATCGATAATACAGATCAAAGAAATCAATAAGCTAAAGTAATATTTTTATTAATTTAGTCAACCCAACATTAAATTTTCTATGTTAAAATCATGACTAATAAATAATTATGGTCAAACTTGATGAAAAAAATAAATTGTAGTACTCCTGTGTATAATGTGTTTTAGAATATTAAGGAAATTACATAACACTTACTTAATTATAATAACCTTTTTAAGCTTACAATTAATCTTCTGAAAAATCTTTAAAACTTGAAAGAGCTACATATGAATGAAATAATAAAAATTTTTAAGGAATTAGTGATAGACATATTTAAACAATAGATTTACCCATTAAATAATTAGAGAAAATTTAAGAGATAATCAAAAAAATATATAATTTAAAGATCAACATAACTTTAAATTCAAATAAGGGCAATCATTATAAATATTAAAATCAATATTTTAGGATTAAAATCCTAATCATTCTTCTTAAATTATAGAAAAATAATTATAATTAGATTAACAATAGAATAGTAAGGTTCAATAATAAATGTAAGAATTCTAAATATTTAGTTCAAATTTAATCAAACTTCTATCATTAATTTATAAAATTCATAATATTAAGATGTAGAGAATGATTAAGAAATTATTAATTTAGAAAATTAGATAAATAGTTTTCCATCTAAAAGGTTTTAATAAAGTGTTTTAAATGAATAGTTTTAATAATTATAATAAAATAATTGTAACTAGACAATGATCAAGCATAAATAATTTAAAAAATAATTAGCGTATGAGATAAATAAAAGAACAATAGAAAAATTGTGCAAATGAACAAAGAATATTATCATAAAATTTTGAATTAAAAATAAAATATTAGAAAGATTAAAGACCCATTTCCTTTTGTATTTAAATAACAAAAGAATTCCAGATTAAAACTAATGAAAAAATTGAAAATTTAGAAAAGGATATAAATGAGGTTTAATATAGAAAATAAATTTTAGAAAAAATTAAAGGAATTCAATTAAAAACCTTTTAATCAATATTAGTTAATCCATATCAGCTTTAATTTAATATTAATTATAAATTAGCTGTCTATTAAGTAATTAAACCCAAATTAGTCTCAGGTTGCCAATTTTCTTATATTATTAGCTCCTTAAGGAGGATTTGGATTAGCTTTAATGAAACCTCCATTAACTAAAGATAAAGTAACAAAATTCACTTTTACAATAAATGTATAAAGTTATATCTTATGAAGAAATACAATAAGTGGGCAGGAATTAGAATTTGCCATTTGTAAACAGCTTAAGGTTTTAATTATGATATGAATGAAAATTATTCACAAAAAAACCACAATGTTTACAAAACATCTACTGGGGGATATAGAATTTCCAGTTATTAAGGTTATAGT